CCACATCACCTTTTGCCTTATACCCTTGCTCGCGTGTCAGATGGCTATAACTGATCGTGTTTTGGGGGGCGAGACAGATAAATTGCAACATTTATTATCACCACTTAAGACCGTCCTGTGTCAAGTATGAAAGATCGTAGGCTTCTCTGCCTGGGGTAAGGTTTCTGGCTATCTGCATGTTACTCCCGCGCCCAAAGCCACTCCCATATCCATTAACTGTCCTTGCATATTATTTACTTTCTTTTCATTATTCTGCCTTTTTTTCTCTCTTTCTCTCTCTCTCTCTCTCTCTCTCTCTCTCTCTCTCTCTCTCTCTCTCTCTCTCTCTCTTCCTCTCTCTCTTCCCCTCTCTCTTCTCTTTCCGCTTCTTCCGTCTTTATTCACCGTTCATAATATGCTTGTGGACTAAGACATGTCTGTGACGTTGTGTATAATGCCTGATGTCCTCTAAACCTCCTCTTTTATTTTTTTGTCCTTCTGTCTGTCGTTTTCCTGCAGTTGTGCTTCTCGACGCGTTTGTCTTCCTTTCTTTCTCGCCTTTTCCTTCTGTCTTCTCTCTTTCTCTCACACATTCACCGTCTCTCCCCCTCTCTCTTCTCCCCCTCTCTCTCTTTTTTCTTTTTTCTCTCCCCACCCACCCCTCTCTCTACTACACACATAACTATTGTTCGAATCTCCTTTCCAACAGAATGTGAACCTTCATGCCGTCTATAAAGACCTCCCCCATTTTTAATGACACATACTTTTACAAACAAACACTCACATACATACACACACACACACAAACAAACACACACACACACACACACACACACACACACACACATACACACACACAAACACATACACAAGCACACATACACACTTTTTCCAATCGAAATAAAACTGTCTTGCTGTCACTCACATTACTCAGCCGGCTGTGATTCTCTCTATATTAATCCATCTTGTGCAAAAGAAAACCAGAAAGCATTCACAATGTTAGTGCCACAGCAATTTCCCGTTCGTAACGTTACATTACACTTCTGCCTTTGTCTGTGCTACTTTTTTCTTTTACCACTGCGGCTTTTCGCAGCAGTGGGTGCAGACTACTCCCGTGTTCCGGAAATGACGTCGGAGGGAGAAAACAGAAACATCAATGGGGGCTTGGAATGTCGATGAAAATTTACGGCCCACATCGATTGCTGCGAGCGTACGAACTGACTACTTGTCGACCGTATCAAAACAAAAATGGCTCCTTTAGTCTCGGGATCTGTTTCAATCTATGGAGGAAAACCGTATCCTAGATTTAGAAAGCTTCACAACGCATTGTTTACAAACAGGCGTCGTTCATAGCGACGGGGATTTGGGAGCTGTCCTCAATGGCATGGGCGTTTCTTTTGTCTAACTGTTACTTTTATTCTTCTAACCGCCTAGGTAGAGACATAGAAGAAAGTGAATTAATTTTAGAGACAGTTCAATCGATCACCATGCGGAAATATGAAGGAGATGACGTATTGGAAATAATGATGATTTGATAAGCATGGAAACAAAGTAGACAATGCATATTGATTGTGCCTTTGAACATATGTATTGTCTGACATGGTTTAACTAGTTTGAATAGACTTTTCTATTCACTTGTCAAAAATCTGCATTTCCCCCCTCATCCATCTTTACTGTATAACTCGAAGTAGACTCAGAACAGCAAACTGGCACCTTGAATGTTTTGCCGAACGTAACGTTTTGAGAATTTT